AAGACTAGGACATCGCAGGATGGTAAGACATGCTGAGACACTGCGGGTCAAGACTAGGACATCGCAGGATGGTAAGACATGCTGAGACACTGCGGGTCAAGACTAGAACATCGCAGAATGGTAAGACATGCTGAGACACTGCGGGCCGAGACTAGTGACCGGCACAGTGAGCCGTTTCAGCGTACCTTCGGCCTCCACCATCTCCTTGACCTCTCGCTTCGTTCTGGCATCCAACTGCGACACACAGATGGTGAGACCAGCAAATGACGGACACCTAGGAGACACACACCAATGAACCAATTTAGCAACAGCGTTGTCCTAACCCTAACACTACTCTAACTCTGATCCTATTACAAACCCTAACCCCTGTTCTAACACTACCCATTCAACTTACCTTTAAACCTAACACTAACCCTGAAATCAATCATAACACCTATTCTAACACTCACCATAACTCGTATCCTACCACTAATCCTAAATGCACAACAACAGTTATCATACCCCAACCCGAATACTCCCCCAATTAATCCAACACCAACCACAATGTTAGCGTTGATACTGACACTAACCCCAGCGCTGATCTCAACACAAAAACTGTCACATAACTATTAAAGAGATTACGTCACGAATTTTCTATGGTAAAATTTGTATAAAAAAAAATTCCCAATTTTTTACATTAAAAGTAAGAACTAACGGGACTAAACAAATCGTCAAATTCTTACCTGATAAGATTGTTTCTCAACTAGTTAAAAATCCAAAAAACCTGGACGATTTGAATTAATGTTCTCAACATTAATTGCTTGCTATGGGCTATATGTATATGAGTCGCGAGTGTATGTTCACATCGAACAATATCGCTCTCTCTATTCGCTATCGCTCTCTCTCTCTCTCTCTCTCTCTCTCTCTCTCTCTCTCTCTCTCTCTCTTCTCTCTTCTTCTCTCTCTCTCCTCTCTCTCTCTACTCTCTCTCTCTTCTCTCGTCTTCTCTTCTCTCTCTCTCTATCTTCTCTCTCTCTCTTCTCTCTCTTCATCTTTCCCTACCCGCTCTCTCTCCCTTTCCCTTTCTCCCTTCTCTACCCTCCTCTCTCCCTGCCCTCCCCCCCGTCGCGGACGACGTCACGGTCGTGCCACAGACGTACAGGGGCGTGGTTCGCAGGTTTATCTGTCTCACTCTCCATCTCTCCCCTTCCCTTCCCCTCTCTCCCTCTCTCCCTTCTCTCTCCTCTCTCCTCCTGTCGCGGACCTCGTCACGCGTCAGTGCACACGTACAGCGGGCGCATGCGTGTTGCGTCCGTGTTTCGCAGGTCGATGTCGGGCGCTGCCAAATGACGCGGATCAGCGACATCAGCGCGTGCACGTCAACGATACGGCAATGACCACCATGCCTGAACGACTCGACTGATGCCGCCGACCGCCGGCCGGCGCCACCTAGCGACGCGTTCGACGCCTCGAGCTTGCGCCACGCCGTCGGCGACATGTTCCTCGACGGATGGCTAAGGGTCGGGTGCGCCCATCTGTGAGCCGTTCCGTGCGCGGAATCGCTCGCTGGGTTAAATCGCGTTTGTACGTTGCGTGTTCGTCTGTGGCCGTCGATTTACACGCGCTTGCATCGCCGGCATGAAAATTTTGGGCGGAGGATTTATGGGATGCAGTATTTGTGTGTATGGTTTTGTATTTGTTTGAGTATTTGCTTGACGCGTGGCCCCTCTACAGATCTACCTGAGCGGTCTTTCTCGCCGGGCCGGCTGCGAAAAGGCGAAGATGCCTTGATCAACGTGGGCGGCGGCACGTGTAACAGCGAGCTCACGACAACGATCTCCCACGTCGTAATGTGCGGCGCCCGTCGCGCCATCACGGAGCGGCTGCGCTACTGCGGCAAGCGCGAGGTAGCTGGCCGCTAGTAGTGCGAGGTAGGTGGCGCTACTGCAGGTGCGAGGTAGGTGGCGCTACTGCAGGTGCGAGGTAGGTGGCGTAGGTAGTGCCAATGTAGGTGGCGCTACAGGTCGATATTAGGTGGTGCCAGGATGCGAGGTAGTGCCTTGTCGGGGTAAATGCTTGGTCCGGTCGCATTAATCAACCAGAGTGCTAGTTAAGCCCGACTGGTCGTGTTCTAGAATTGGTTCATTATATTATTGCACTGAAAGGTCACCTCTTG